GAAGAAAAGCAGCTGAGCTGCAGGCTCCTCTACACTAAAGCAAGAGCCCTCACTGTAAACACGGAGAGGTACATGTGCTGAGGTGAACGTGCTCCAGCAGCTTCGATACACAATTTTAATGCGAGAAGGAAACTCAGCACTTGAAACTGCATGGAGGTAACCCATGCACTTGCTCAGCCAGGTGTGTGCAGGGATCCTTTCCACGGGGCATGATCTTATAATGTAGTGGAAATTTCCTGCAATTAACATCAGGTGCCACACCATCCACAGTTGCCCCACCACCACAGAACTCACAACTCTTTTTATGGTATTTTTCCCTCTCTCCTAGGGGTCCCCCAAGGAGGAGATCACTCTCTGCATACAAGGCCAGCAATCAGGATGCAGCTTACACTGGTGTGTTCGATGCCTCACAACTGGACACCTCCACTGCCCTGGCTGCAAAGGTAGACCCTGGGGTAACAGCAGCAGCTGCGGTTTCAGTAGTACATAGCTAGAGGTAGAGGCCAAGTAGAAGGCACCCATGAGAAACTGAGTATGAGACAGGCCTGGTTTCCAGGCTCAGGAGAGTAACGTTGCTCAGGAGGAGAGCGCTTCTGCATAGCCCTCGAGGCTGTTGGATTTGAGGAAGACTTTTCTGGAGCTTATTCTGGACCTATGGAGGTCACGTACAGCTGTAGGTGCTCCCTGACCTCCTCAAAACTTGCAGCCCAGGCTACTTGGAGATGTAGGGTCCCTCACTGCTGCTCCCCACTTTGCCACAGGAATGACCCCACACAGATGTAGCACCACGGGACAGCCACTGTCTCTATGGGTTGCACAGTCAGGTTACTCTGGGCCAAGGACACCTGCGGGTGTTCCCTCTTGTAGTATTTTCAAATACCCCTTATTTCTACTAATTGCCCCGGTATCAAAGTTCAGAGCGAGAGGTTTCCTGCAGAGCCCAGCTACTAACACCAACACAAGGCAGTGGGAAACTTGCAAGCCAACAGTCAGCACTCTTCTCCCAGAAAGCCTGGCTTAATCCCCCTCTGCCGTGGCTAACAAAGCTCTCTCTTTTTTTTTTTTTTCTCCCTTTTTATTTTTTTTAAACCAGGCAGCTGAATCACAATCGAGATCAATTTTCTTATTTCCTCAACAGTCGCAAGCTGGCCGGGTAATGGGCAGACAGAGTGATGCCTTGAAGCATCATGAGGACGTTTGTGGGGATGGTGGGTCTAGCACCTAGTGCTCGCCTGGGAGCAGGTGGGGGACCTCCTTCCAGTCACTTACCTTTCATTTCTCTTTCTGTAAGATGAAAGTTTCTGCCTTGAACTGCCAAGAGGCACAGCCTTTCCTAAGGGGAATGGATTTAGACAGTAGATACGTTGGAGAAGGAGTTGCTCACATGGGATATTGATACTATGGGCCCCCTGGGTGAGAGGCAGCTCCCTTTAAGCTATATCCATCATTGGCGACAAGAAAAACCGTTATAAACCAAGGCACTCTCAGTCCTGCCTGCCACAAGCCTTCTTAGCAGCTCTCCTGGTCTACCTCTCTGCCTTCACGGAACATGCACCGCTGCCCCTACAGCTCCTCAGAAACCTTGGATTCAGGGCAAAGCCCTAATTAAGATGCTTTGAAGGGCTTAATGGGCAGAGAGATAGGCTACTCCAAAGACTGAACAAAGAGCCACGAGGGAACCAAATGCTGAATTCAGTGCCTGAGCCAGGTGCCTGGTTAAGCAGCAGCAAAGTTCCCCTGTGTGCCTGCGCAATGCCGGATGCAAAGATCCTATATGAGTAACGGCAATGCAAGGCAGCCCACTGTCTCACTCGGTCCTTTCTTCTCAGGTGCTGGCAGCCCAAGCCATCACGCTTTGACTCCTCCCCACCTGAACCAAAAACACATTCCTTGCTAGATAGAGAGGGAGGCCAGAGTTGGGAGTCATCAAAAGCACCATGAGTTTTTATGTGTGCACACACATGTGCACGTATGAGCTGCATCAGCCTTCTGTGTGTGTGCAAAAAGCAGAATCATAGAATCATTTGGGTTGAAATAGACCCTTAAGATCATCAAGTCCAACCATTAACCTAGCGCTGCCAAGCCCACCACTAAACCATGTCCCTAAGCACCACATCTACACATCTTTTAAATACCTCCAGGGATGGTGACTCAACTGCTTCCCTGGGCAGCCTGTTCCAATGCTTGACAACCCTTTTGGGAAAGAAATTTTTCCTAATATCCAATCTAAACCTTCCCTGGCACAACTTGAGGCTGTTTCCTCTTGTCCTATCGCTTGTTACTTGGGAGAAGAGACCAACACCCACCTCGCTACAACCTCCTTTCAGGTAGTTGTAGAGAGCGATAAGATCTCCCCTCAGCCTCCTTTTCTCCAGGCTAAACAACCCCAGTTCCCTCAGACACTCCTTATAAGACTTGTGCTCTAGACCCTTCGCCAGCTTCATTGTCCTTCTTTGGACATGCTCCACCACCTTAAATGTCATTCTTGTAGTGAGGGGCCCAAAACTGAAAACAGGATTCGAGGTGTGGCCTCACCAGTTATGAGTACAGGGGTACAAGCCCTTCCCTAGTCCTGCTGGCCACAGTATTTCTGATACAAGCCAGGATGCTGTTGGCCTTCTTAGCAGGCGCATCCACAGGACATGCAGTTTGCAGTTGGTGGCTACTGGTCACCAGACAGAAAAGCAACTCCCCCAAATTCCAGCGATGAGTTTCCAAACAAACCACAGGTTCGACGTCCTCTGCAGGATTTTTTTCTGCATTCACTAGTGGATTTTAAGTTAATTTTTATATCAGCTGCTTCCAGCTGGCTTCATGGTTGATCGTTTCCTATGACCATTCTGCAATATTTCCAAGCCCTGGAGCAAAGTGCTGCTCTGAAAGCGCTTAGGGATGGCAGAATCCAGCCCGAATTTGGAAAAAAGCCACTTTGCCGGTTCTTACTCAAATGTCACAGGGTCCCTCGAGCTCCCCAGCCACCTCCCTTGTCCTACCCGATGTCCCAGCGCCGGGATGCGGTGGGATGCCCTGCGCGGGACACCGCGGCTTTGCTCCCGCG